GTAGTACCCTCTTTTGCTCTGGCTGCTATGGCGGATAACTTGGGCACTCGATTTTTTATAATGCAATAAATTTTCTGCTGGTTTTGAAGTACATCTTTTATATTATCTTTTATAGACTTTTCTTCTTTGATCGTTTTTTCCAGCGGACAAAAAATTTTAAAAAAACAAAGAAATAATTTTATCAATGATTCGAAAGAAAGATTTTCATACTTACCAGTCAGATAATTGAAAAGAAATAAGAGCTTGCATTTAATGCTATGGCTTTTATAACAACCAAAATTTCTTCGAAAAATGATGTTTTAATTTTTTTTCTTGAATGACCAAGGTCTAGTTTCAAAGCACAGCGATCATTTATTTTATACTGAATGATTTTCACTTTCTATAAGTTTTTATACATATTATGATCAAAATATAATTATATATAATTTTGCGTGTGGGATAATGATAAAAAATCCCGATTTGTTTTTGAAACTCATCATTTTTTTAAGGCAAACACTGCTTCATATACCTTAACGGAATATTCATACGACCATTTTTGCATGATCAGTCTTGTTATCCTTAGCCTCTACTGTTATTTAGTGCTGGATTAGGTACTGTTAAAAAACTGAACACAGAAACTGAACATAAAAATGTACTGCATTGGCTGGAAAAAATTAAACTCGTTATGTAACATAAGCGTTTGCTAAACGCAGTTTGCTATTTTCAAATTAAACGGAAAATTTTGGAGAAGACTATTGCAAACAACAGGCAGTCGTTGAACAGGGAAAATGAGAACAGATAATATTTGGAACTTCAAATTTCGGATTTGGAAGAAACAATCACTTTAAATACTTTACACTTTCAAAATTTTTTCATGATTTTCTTTCAGAATTTTACCTCAGCCAAACAACTGATTCTTAAGGTAATTTTCTTCGTTTTGCTGCAATTTTTGCTAATGAAAGTACTTTTTTCTCACGTTTTTTGCGCGATAAGCATGTGTTGAATCTGCATTCATTTAACAAATGAATCATTCAACAAAGTTCTTTCATTTAACAAATGAATCAGATTTGAAGCACAATTTAAAATTCAATCAACGAAAAATTTAGCCTTAAAAAACTTTTCAATTTTTTCCTTAAAAACAAAAACTACAACACCAAAAAAGATTAACCTCTGCTTTCATTGTCACACAAACTCAAAAAAGTGGACGTACTCAAGTTACAGGAAAAATTTCAAGAATTCAATTACGAAGGGATTAGGACATATGAAGAAAGCAGACACAATATTAGTGGAAATTTTTGTTCAAAACACAAACCTTCTACCACGGTATAAGCCACAAATGGGGCCAGACTTATGCGCCAGACAAATAGCTCGGAACAGTCACTGGTACTACTATGATAGAATGGTTCCTTGAAAATAACTAGGTTCCTTGCGAATAAGACATCTAGAGGCCTAAAATTCTTTAATAATTATGGTTTAGCCATTCAGATAGATTTCGCAGCATAATATCAAACAAGTTTTTTTTGTTCGTTTTTCGTACAACTTCCCCCTCACCATTTTAAGCTTAAAATTGAAAATACCTCCAAAATTAAGTTTTGATGACAAATAAGTAAGCCCAATTATGGTTGTTAAATCATAAAATAAGGTAAAGCGAGCATATTTATTGATACAAACACTATAGTAATTACAATTTTTAATCTTAAAAGTTTCTGACTCAACATATTTTGCGAGATTTTTGAAATGAATAATTTAAACACAAATGAAGTTTCAAATTATTACATGCGAAATGCATGCGGGATCTGTCTATCATAATATTTTTTTCGAGGGACCACTCTATCATAGTAGTACCTAGTCACGTTAACAAAAAAGTTCTTGGTGACAAAAATTTGGTGATTTTGGAGGGCGTCACACTTAAACACTTTTTCCGGGCCAAAAATTAAGCGTGGCTTGCAAAAAATTGTTATACTAAAAAAACTGAAGAATTTCAATTTCAAATTTATATCACCCTTGTTCAAACTTAGTTCCGGAAGTTTTTTGCAGCTAAAACAACATCGCAAATGATTTTCAAATTAAACATCTCAGAATTTTATCCGACTTTTTTTGTATTACAAGGATTACTTCGGGAAACTACCAAAGCGAAATTTTTCTTAAAATTCTGTTTTAAAAATTTTCGGTTCGATATTCTTCAATTTTAAGGGAAAAAAGTCCGTCAAAACATGCAGCAAAAAATTTCTCAAATTTAAGCAAAAAACCCACTTCCACGGTTGAAAGTGCCAACGTATTTCCACTACATACAAAAAGCTTAATACAAAATTCAGATATCAAAATATGCTCAAACTGATATAAAAAACGCTTCAAAACTGTTAATCAATTCTTGTAAATTTTAAATTTAAGTTTTCACAAAAAAATTGCAATTCGAAAACCTAGTAAAAAAAACAAAAATTGAATTAAAATTAGCAAGAATATTCATAAAATACTTCAGAAAGGAAAAACAATCAGCCGATTACTTGAATCGAGCCGTGGCACTCAGAATTATGACGCACTCGTCTTTTTGTCAGGTAAAATTGTCCTAACAGCCTGTGAACACAAAAATTGAGCGCATAAAAGTTGAACACCTCTTTGACGAGCTTCGAACAAATGACTAACCAATGCTCTTAAACAAGTTTCTTAATGCTGCTACTTTTGAGCCGATCATATCCTTTTAAATAGATTTATCCATCAGATTTAAGAATTTCAAATATAAATATCGAGAAGTTAGAGAAAATCTAAAAAAAACCTTAAAAAAACTCATTTCATAGGTTGAAAACAAAAATATGCAACTTGCTCCTGTGAAAAAAAAATTGCAACTCAATTCCGCAGCTCTCCGAAATAATTTTAAAAAAAGAGAAAAAATCAGTACAAAAATTTAGATCGGCAAAATAGCTTGCAACAGCGGAGGATTGAAACTACCGTCTGCCACTTCATAGGTCGAAAGTTATAGGCAGACAGTAGATCACTCAGCCGAAGATCTTATGAAAAAGCCATCGACAGCTGGAGAAGGGTCAATTAACTCAGAAAACAAAACAACAATCAATTTTTGACGATTTTTCAACTTTTGAATTCCAAAAAAAATACAGCACGTAGAAGCTCTCTAAATTTCAAGAATCAATCCAAAGCTTAAATTAAATTCCTATTTTAAAACTATAAATAATTTAACTTCTTTGCGTTTTTTTGTCATTGAAGAGCGTGCTCTGCCTGCCTTTTAGCAAATTAGATTAAATTGAACTGAAAAGGCCCAGTCAAACAGAGAAAATTTACTCTTGCTCGAATTTGAAGTATAAACAACAATAACCTAAATAGATCTTTTATTCGTTCATTGTCACTTATTAGAGCATATTTTACTAAAATTACACAGAGGTGAAGCGCGAGAAAACGACCAAAAAGCAGCTCTATCAAGTGAAATAAGAAAAAAAACACAGAAATAAGCCTCGAAAAACTCGGTCTTGTGTCGCATTCCAATCTGTGTACTAGAGACTATGAGTCTCAAGCACTAACCACTCAGCCACGAATTGTTAAATTTCTCAAAAACTAGCCACCAATAACAAAGTTTCATATCCTAACAAATTGCCAATTCGCTGCAGCAAAAGTAGCATCAAATATAGTTAAAGCCAACTTGTTGGCAAAATTGGTGACCTTGAAAAATTTAATCGGTCAAAAACTATTGCACTTTTAAGTTAATTAGTTTTTTTAAACACGGCGTTTGCGTCAGGTACGCAGTGAAAAAAAAAATCTGACGTCGAAAAGAGCAGTTTTAGGTTAATTAAGTAGTTCGGATTTGTTGACGGAATCGGATATTACCAACAATTTGGCATTAACTATACAAAAAGACACAATTTTGCATGTAATTAATTCGGAAGCATAACGCCAAGTTATGTATAAATTATGCATTTCAAAAAAACAAATTGCAAGATGTGTTGAGTTGGAAAACTTCTGAACCGAGCTTTTCATCATTTTACTGCTGTTTGAAATACTGGCTCTTTTTCCTTCCCCCCCCCCCCCCCCCACCTCACACAAACATGAATTTTATAGTCTAACGAGTAGTTTTACAAGGTTAATTATGAAGACCAAATATGTTTGTTATGGCCTAATCAGTCTGCCTGTCAATTTTCATGGCAATCGGACAAAGCGAACAGTAAGTTCAAATTGAAAAATTTGCAGGTGGGGGGGAAAAGGAAAAAGAGCCGAAATACTTTCTTTTCGGTTGATTGATGAATTAAAAATGCATCAATTGTGTTAAATTTTTAGTCATCAAATTTCAAATCACCTATGCTATTATACTGCTACAGCGCCCTACCGATTCAAAGTGCCCCCAATAGCGACTTAGTTTGAAAAACAAGAATGTTCGTACTAAAGCGAATAAAGCACGTGCTATCAAATGCCATGATCTCAAAGAATTTCAACTGATCTTGCTAGCGCAAATTAGTAAACGTTATCTCAAATAAGACTAATCTATCGTAAAGTTTGATGAAGACTAAAACTATCAAATTGAGGTAAAATTTGATAAATATGTGACTTCTTCCTCCCCTCCGCGGTAAAGAAGTCTGACTCAAAGAAAACCTAAGCTGCGCGTATTAAAGTAAAAACTCTGACACCACGTCATTCGAATATCAGGTTGGAAATTTTCTGAAAGGAGATTTAAATCATTATACTGTTGTATGAAAATAAAGCATCAACTGTGTTAGCTTATTACTAATCAGAAGTCAAAGCTCTCGGGAATATACTGCTAAAACAGCCTACCATTCAAAAGTGCCACCAAAGTAGCACTTTTATTTGCGACTTAGGTTGGAAAAAAAGAAAGTTCTTACTAATACACTCCGCTACTGCTTGTGTAATTATCTAAAAATGTACATTAATCGCGAGAGCAAAAATCTTCTAGAGCTTCTTAAGGATTACAGTACCTTCACACATTAAAGTCTGTCAATAAAATGTTTTCAGTGAAAAATTACCTATAGGTCAAATAATTTTATTTAATTGAATTGTCAACTTCACCTACTATCAAATCATCACTCAGTTGTCAATTCAAGTCCCATATTTCGATCACAGAGTCTTCTCTTAGGTTAAATTCAACAACAGTTGCTTCTTTACTTCTCAAGACACTTGACAGTTTCTGCTGAGTTTGGCAGTGAGCAGTCCTTTTCCTTCCACTTCTAGGGGCGCATCTTTATACCTCACAACTCCATTCGAATCCACCTTCAGATCTCCCTTCACACTCTCCCAGATATTCTTCTTCGGGTGCATAAAAGGCTGCTCTGGCTCGCCCGGGTACTCCTTGCACACCACTCTGTCGCCCACCTTGGCGCCCGGGGGAGGATCTACCAGTTCGGCCTTGCCCCCTGCTTCCACAGCACACATGACCATAGCCTGGGTAAAAGTTATATTGCTAACAAGTCATATCATTTTCATAGTATTTGACCTTCGAATAATACTCACGCAATGTCATGCAGAAGAGTTGGTTCGTTTTCAAATAAACCTTTATGCTTGCTTACACATGGCCACCAGACAGTTGAAAAATAGTCAATGAGCACAAGGAGACAAAAAAACTGACTTATTTTGTGAAAAAAAAATCAACTTCAAAGTAAAAACCAATTTTTACGAATTTCAAAATAAGAAATATATTGCCTTACATGACTTTAAATTTCAAGAACTATTTAAGACTGACATTTTATAAGATTAATTCAATAGAAAAAAATGTAAACCGGATCGATGGGTGAAGTTTCAAAACGATAAAATCCTCTTTCGAAACGATAAAATCCTCTTTCGAAACGATAAAATCCTCTTTCGAAACTAGGAGCCGTTCAAGTTTTTTCGCACCATTTCCGTTTTCGTGATTAGAGAGCGCAATTCGCCTAACGTCTAGCAGATGAATTTGAATTGAACTCAAAAAGTGCAGAGATATTCTTAAATACATCCATAAAAGCATTAAGGAAATCACGTTTATAGTTATTAGAGCATTTTAAGACGTTTTCCTGAAAAAAATCACCAAGGCATATAGAGTCTACACTAGGTTCATCGAATCTTAATAGAATTACATAACTCCTAGTGAAAAGGTTTTTATTTGAAGCTGAATTTACTCGAAATGTTGCCATCTAAAATTTGCATGAGTAACTTGAGCCAAACATTTCATGACAACTTATGAAATCAAGAGTTGCCACTCCCTTCTGCAAAACCGCAGATCTTTCCGTGGTAAAAACGCTTCTTAATGTCTGACCTGAGATGTGACTCCTCGCATCTTCGCCGGTTTGAGGTTACACATGACGAGCACCATTCTGTTGCGCAGCTCACTCTCCTCCATGGCGGCAACAAGACCACTGCACACAATCCTCGCATCACCAAACCCACTTTCATTCCCTACACAACAATATCCGGGGTTCATTTTTGTTACTTTCCCACCATTAACAAAAACTTCAGACAAAAAGATCTGACACAGCTGAGCGAGTCAATATATACCAAAAGTTGTATTATTTTTGATAATTTTTCCGACCATTTGAAAAATGCAGAGGAACTTTGTATTCGAGTGTGTTCAAGTTTTTTCTGTTTTTTGTTATCCATGCAAAATGAGCTACCACAAATAATCATTAGAGAGAGTTCAGTGGTATATCATATTAAAGCCCTTTCAGTTGTGATTCGAACGATATCAAAAATTTTCCAAAGAATCCTTGTGTCGAGAAAAACTGGTTTTTCTAGCCATTTTCAGGAAAAACTGTTTTCCAATTGGCCTATTTGACTATAAATGTTGCATTTGTCTAAATTCTATTTTCAGGCTCAGATTTCTTTATCACACTACACAGAAAAAACGACACTAGTTTGAAAAAACCATGGTCGGAACATACTGTGCTACTTGCACAGTAACCGGCGATCTTTGTTTTAATATGCTGTCTTATTATACCACGTCTATTGCCGCGGAGACTAACAGTGAACATGCAAAACAGTAAGCAAACACTTATTCAAGTAACCGCAGGTGCTTAATTATCCAGGAATCCCCCCCCCCACATACCTGCCCAATACATAAATTTACCTGTAAAAAATGATGGTCTCACGACTAAAGAAGACCCCCACTAAAAACATTTCAAAAAAAATTTCAATACCGGAGAACTTGAACCAAAGATCGGTAGCGGACGAACATCATTTAAAGGATGTTTAACACTCAAGTTATTTGTTTTGAAAGCTTTTTATGAAAACTTTTTATTACGCCTTATTCAGCTCTATTAGAATTGAAGTCAAATCAAAACTCAACATCTTGTCGCAAAGATACCCAAACCCCCCTCCCCGAATAATTAGGGACCCCCGATAACTGATAATTACAACCCCTCTCCCCACGAGAATTAGCATTTTCATTTTCATTACCTGGCTCATCTCCGCACTCTATCTCTTCGACGTAGAGCGTGTCGGCGTCTGGGTGGCGGGACACCTCTCGGATGTAGCCGATGCGCAAGTCCAACTTGGACACGTCAAATGACTTCTCTTCTACAATAAAAAAAAACATTCATTTAGATCCGCGTCCGCGTGAATTTTTCACGAGATAGTTGTTTTGAAAAATTATTCACCACATTTGTCCTGCATGGGGATCAATTTGAGACTGCTTGGAATATTTGTTTAAAAAATTGCGGCTCTTTTCTAGTTCCCCACTCCCTCGTAAAATTAAAAAATAAAACTGTTCAAAAATTGTTCACAAGAAGTTTTGAATGTAAGAAATGTTGTAAAAATTTGTTTAGCTGTTCACGCTCACACGCTTTAATACAATTTATAACATGAAAAGTCACTTAAAAAGACTTTCATATAAAAATTTTTAGAAAAAATGAAAGGGGGAACTGGAAAGGAGCCAAAATTGCTTTTCCAGTGGTCGCCTGCCTAAAAAAAAATCCCTTCAGAAACGTAATGCCGAACCAAGTCTTTCAAGTTATTTCAAAGGGCAAATAGGATTGCGCAAAGTTTGCTTATAAAAAGTTTGCTAAAAGTTTTGCTCATTAAAACTTATGCTTTTCGCAAAACGATACGGTCTATGAAATAGCTTGAAATATTTCAAAGTTTTTCTGAGCACGCTAATCATGCGATGAAACTTTGAAATATGTCAAGTTGATTCATAGAGAAAATCGACTGGCGAGAAGTTTAAGTTTTTCTAAGCAAGCTATTGATAGACAAAAAACTGGTTTTTAAAAAACTGGCAAGCTTGAATAGACAAAAAACTGGTTTTATTTTAGAAAATAAAAAAGTTTAAGTCCCTCCTCAAAACACTTGGATAAAATTTGAGGGGGTATCAAACACTTACATTCCTCCTCGAAAAACTCCTCAAATAACTCAAAAAGAGGTCTCTAAGCCAATATATTACAAACCGAACCCTTTTAAGCCGAATGAAAAAAAAAGAAAACGAAAAAAAGAATACTGATATACTTAAGCCAGAGTAGGTGAATTTACAGCCAACAAACAAATACAAGCATCGAACAGAACGGGCATTTAAAAGCAGACTGTTCGTTGACGAAAGAAGAGATCACCACAATTTTAGTCATCCTGTGAACGTAAACAAAGTTATTTACGGAAGAAAAGTCTAGTACTCGATTGCAATACCTTTGCTTGTCGCAAAGGTAATTATCATACCGTTGTATAAGGCATTCCAGTTCATTTGATGAATTAAAAACGATTGACTGATGACACAAATTATCAACTGTGTTGCCTTCTTTTAAATCAAATTTCAAAGCACATGCGATCCAATTACCAATGCTTCCTGCTGAAAAAATGCAATCAAAAGTAGCACTCATCTTTGCGAATTCAGTTAGAAAAAAAAACGCTTCGTTGTGTGACAATAATTCGACTGCGTAAACTTCGTCATACCGAAGAGGGTTAATACAACTCAGAGCTCTTTGAACGCAACATTACATAACCCAGAACCTAAACTGCGGACCACTTTCTATAGAAAATAAAATATTTTAAAACAAAAACCGAGACCTAATATTTTCAAAAATCTAGTATAAAATTACTTCGCACAGTACAACAACGGCGAAGCGCAGCTTCACACTACTTGCGAAACCAGGATAAATGCAAATTTTTGAATTTCATTCAAAAGGGCTCATTCAAGAAATTCAACCCAGGCAAAGAAACGATTCGCCAAAAAAAGAATGAGTAGCTCATTGCTGTACGTGTAGCACAGTTGAACCATTTAATTTTTTTTTCGTTTTTCTCTTGATTTTCTAAAAACTCAGTAGTCTTCATGAGTAAATTGGATGGAAAAAAGGCCATTTGGATTCCATAGCAAGCCAATAACACTTAAGCATATTAAAGCAATAGTAAAATCATTTAGGTAGTGAGTTTCTCAGGCAAAAAGACTTCTTCTGGCAATAGCCTGGTCTGAATAGCAACGAAAACATCAGACTAGTTTTCTCGAGACAGTGAGAATTTTGTTGAATTTTTTGGACAAATCATGACCATTAGGGCTTTAATATGCTCCTCACTCGAATCCAAACTACGTTTCTTTGAGGTTGAGGTGCCTAAAAACCGGCGATAAAACGGCATAAAGTAGCTCTAAAAGTCTGAAAAAGTGAAAGAAAGTTGAACTAATAAAAACTATCCTATGTGCCAGAACAGAGCCCCAAACCTCGGGATTAAGGGACACGCTTTCAATCATCTGCGCAACGGTCGCTTGATAATCGTCAAACACTGGCCACCAATTAACCAGGTACAAAATAATGATCCAGCAAAAGCAAGCAGATTTAAAGCTATTGCTTCAAAAAAAGCAAATTTTCAATATTCTTTGATAACGCTTCTAATCACAAGGCTAATTAACAATGCTTTTGTTTACCTTTAGCGGGAGTCGAATTACTCGGAGTAGTTTTCGTCTGCTTCTCTTTTTTCGCCTTTTTCGGAACCTGTTCACTCGATGCCACCCGATTTTTCGTTGCGGTTTCGGTATTATTTCCAGTAGAATCACTTTTGGACGAGTCCCCATTTGCCAGCAAAGAAACACATTTTCCATTGGACAGTAGTGCCTGGTTGTATTTACTTTTAAGCTCATCGATATCTTTTTTCAGCTGACCATTTTCGCGCATCAGATTCGCAATTTGAGATTTGATTGTCTTTTCACGGAGCATCGAAACTTTCTTACGCAACTCCGATATTTTTTCCTCGGCGTCCACGATGTTCATGGTTATTGCGCGACAACTCAATTTATTCAGCAGAAATTGAGGCGACTTTCTGATATTTTGATTCAATAAAGAAATTTTCGAAACAATCTGATATTAAATCAATATCTGAAATGGTGTTCCATGGACTTAATTATTAAACCACAGATATTATAAACCATTGAATTGAACTCAATTATAAATGAAATCTCAAATCGCAGTACAAATATTATAAATTATTGAAATGAACTCAATTATAAACAGAGAGGCGAAGCTGAGCTTCGCACCACTTGCGATACATCACAAGAAAATCGAAAATGTCGAAAAAACTAAATCTATCATCAAAAATAAGATAAGTTTAAAAAAAACATTCCGAGACAAAAAAAATGAAATTAGCATCGGAAGATATTTTAACAAGCGGTAACAAATACCTTGACAAAAACCTTTTAAGCCAAAAAATCAACAAGATTTAAGATTTATGAAAAGTGCCCCTCGCCCTCAAAACACTCAAAAAACATGATTTGCTTGTCAAATGAAACAATATGAGGCAACGCCCAAATAAAATGCTTGTCAAATGAAAACTATTACGCCCAAATAAAATTTTTAAAAAAATGAAAAAAAGTTAAGACTAATAAGAAGTTATTAAGCCACCCTCGCACTCAAAACACAGACACGCACACACACACACACACCTTTTTCGCAAAGGACGCAAATACACACATACAAAGGACGCAAAATGAGGCCGATAAGCCGATATAATATAGGCAGAAACCTTTCAAGCCGAAAAAAAGGGGAAAAACAAAAAAGGCGATACAAAAATTGTTGTCATGAAAAAAATTGAATTTTATTTCTATTAAGATGTTTAGCATTTTGCGCAATCCAGAGATAAGCATAACAAGTATGTTTTCATTGAAAAGACTCGAAATTAGGTAACTTAGCCAATAAAAGATAGGCCGAAATCATTTGGGCAAATTAAAGTTTTTAATAAAAAAAAAGAAATATATACGATGTCAAGGTTTAAAAAATTACAAACAAACAGCATAGATAAATCAGAACACTAAAAAGCATCTATAATGTTGAAAAAAACTAAAGATCAAATGAGCGACAATTTATTTGGATGGTAAAAAAAGCGGAAACTAAGCCAACAAAAAGTATACCGAAAGCAACGAAGTCGAAAACTCAAAAAAAAAATACCAAACAAATATCATTAAAAAGTTTGAACAGCGAATTTATAGGAAAAACACTAATAAGGATGCACAGTGAGAGTAATAGACCAATGAGCGCAAATATACGCACATACTGCATGCATGTCGTGTACTGCACACATACTGAAATCTGTGGACAAAGTTGTTTAGGGGAAAAAAGTCTAGTACCCTATTGCAATACCTTTGCTATCGCAAGAGTAACGAAACCTCAAATCTCATTACAGAAGAAATGTTCATGCATCTAATCTATTTTTCTACCACTCCCCCTTCCTCTAAGATAAAAAAAAACTTTGGCATAGTGTGTTTTCTGACCCAATATTAGGAGCATCAATGAATGCTCTTGTGTCAACGAGTTACAAAATAGAAAAATGCCTCAGATTTTCATATAAAACCATTTTTGGATAAATTTTAGTATCTTATCCTCGTGTTTTTGGTTTTCCAGAGTCCCGCCCTGCTTAGCCTCATGGCTCGTGCTCGATTCTTGTGAGTTAAATTCTGTAGACGTATATTTTTCACTAAAAAATTCAAACTCAAATATAAATCATTTACAGATTAATGTTTATTGAGGATTGGATGAGAGTATGATAGAATTTTCCTTCGATTTGAACTTTATCAGTCAGTGGCAGAATCGACAGCCTGACCACCCAGACCCCCAAAGAGTCCCCTTATAGTCAAACTCGAACGTTTATTGGTCAGGGGGCAGATTCGACAGCCTGACCACCCAAAGAGTCCCCTTATAGTCAAACTCGAACGTGTGTTAGTCAGCGGCAGATTCGACACCCTGGCCACCCAAAGGGACCGCTTATAGTCAAACTCTCCTGCTTTTTTATGCCAAAAGAAAAATTCCACAGGTAACTTCAATTAGCACAGAACTCGGGAACAGTTGAGGCGGGTGCTTTAAACCTGTTGGGATCGCCGCTGCTTGGAGTGGTGAATCATATTAAATCTCTTTTAGCCGTAACTCGGACTCCAAAGAGCAACTTTCGAGAAAAGTTTGCAAGAGTCTTTATCAGATTTAATCATTATTATTTATTTGAACGCATGCTTGCATCACGTTTAATCTACTTACCCGGTTGGACTTTGCACTAACTGCAACAAAAAAATTCATTTTAAATGCTAGACGACAAAAGAAAAATCTAATAAAGCCAAATCTAACCCGTTGCAGTAATAAATACGACTGAAAGTAGCTCAGAATGTTCCAACCACGCTTAGTTTATTTTTGCATTGTAGTTTGATAAATATTTCTAAAAAGTCAACTTTTCAGTTACTTTTTTAGCTAGTGAGATGGGACTAAATTGATCAAGAATCAGCTACAGCAATCAATTGAAAATGCTAAAAACAACTTTTAGAAAATAGTAGAATAGTTAAATCGGAAACTGAAATTTGCAGATTTGATAATGGAATCCAAAACACGACTGCAAGGGTTTTTACATGTGCTCACACTAGGCTCCCTATGAGCTTTCTTTAATGCAGTCAAAATGGGAGGAAAAAAACACCACGCGCCACAAAAATGAACAAAAACAACTCTGTTGACAAAACACTCAAAACGAACGTATAGAACAAAGAGGCGAAAAGGCTATCAAACATACAAAAAAAGGTTAAAATATAGCGTTAGACTAGGCATTAAAAGTGGCATTACATTAAGATCATCAAAGTCTAAGCTACGCCGCCTTCCAGTGGTACGTCTGACTACTCTCATACCAGAATACAAATGCCGTCAGGTCAAAGCTCTCATAGTTCATGAAAGCCTTAGAATTCCCTGGGTTTTCAATTTTCTTTTGCTTGAGAGCAATTCAAATATTTAGCGTGTCATGCACCTACGGTGCTTCGAATAGCTTATGGAACGTGAAAATTATTTACAGGTGAAAAATACGAAAAAAAAACTATTAAATGAACGCAATCAAAGCAATAGATCGAGGAATTCAAAAACGCTTTAGATTTCAAAAATTGAACAATAAAATAGTTACAATTTAATTTTTTTTAAACTAGTCAATCTGCAAAACAACTGGGTTTCAGATCTCCGTAACTTTAACCCTAAAGGAACTCTAAGATGGCCAACAGTATACAACTGCACTTTTCATAGTAAAACATAGCCAACAGACAGATGAAAAAGAGTCAATGAATGCAAACTTTCGAAATTTCAATAAAAAATAGATGCCCTTAAAGCTCTTTGAATTTCTAGAACAATTTATGATTGACAATTTTTGATGAAACTAACACAATTTGAGAAACCTGGATCAATAGATAAATTTTTTTATTTCCCTCGAAAATCTGATCATTGAATTCCATTTCAGAAAAAAGAAAATGAACTGAACTTAATACCACAAATATAGCAATGCAAGCTAGCAGACAGGAAAAAACAGGAGAGCCACTTATTCCAAAAAAAATGGAAAAACCATAATTTAAAAAATTCAAAATGTTGCCTGGAATGATGTTCACTTTGGAGAAAACAAGTTCAGAAACATATTGGACGGCATTTTATAAAAAATCAAAAACAATTATCAAGTGAAAAAATATTGTGGTAATGAAAACCTTTGAACTATAAGTTCTGTTTTGAGAGTTTGAACGTTTTGTGCGATCCTGAGGAAAGTACACAAATTAAAGTTCTCTTGATGGATCCAAAATTGGTGGATTAGAAAGCCGATAAAACATAATTCGAAATTATTTTGACCGAAAAAATTTAAAGCGAAAAAAAAACAAGAAAAAATACGAAGTGACGGCTAGTAGAATTACAAATTACAGGAGTAAATGAAGACATAAGAGGCAACTACAATGAAAACTGCATACTGCAAAAATCTAAGATGTGGCAACTAAGCCGACAAAACTTACCCAGACAAATAACAAGCCGGCATCTTTTAGAAACGGAATATTTCCCGTTTCAAAAAAAAACAACAGGTCCTGGTCAGATTCGAAACCAGCACATTTGCCGTCCGAGGCATATTCATTGCCTTCAGATTAAGTGTGCTGTAGACTCCCAGAAATTTGAATTGATCATAAACCAATGTACCAAGTGATTCAATTGATTCAGTTAAACAGTTTTCTAACCCAAAAAAGTCTATATTACGGTTCCATAACGCTTGGAAATCGCAAGCATAAAAAATCAAAGTCAAACCACAAAAAAACTGTGCGTGAACAAGATTTGATGCAAAAAAAACGAAAACATATTATCGCGACGTATACAAGAGTCTGAACTACGTTCATCGACTCTAAATGAAACAATTTCATTTGCAAAATCATCAAAGTCACAAATGGAATTCATAATCTAGCGTAATTATTTTTAGAACTTATCAGAATATTTTTTCACAATTTAATTCTAAGTTAAATGAAAAATTCTGAGATATCCAAAAAATCCAATTTTAGCAAAACTAAGATGGGCGGTCACATCTGCATCCGATGGTAGTAACTTGGCATCACTCCGCAAAAGTGTCGACAACTTCAAATTTTGAAAAGTATATCTAAGACGTCATATCTAAAAAAAAAACTGAAAAAAATTGAGCAGTTACAATTGGAGGCAAGATTTGCAGCCCCTGAAATTAACCTGGAGGCTCCCAACTTCAGTGTTGGGAATTTCAATTTTGTGAAATTTTTTTAACCTAAGTTTTATGGAAACTTCTCATAAAAACTATAGAAAAAACGTCATATCTCTAAAGCTAAAAGGATTTGAGAAGTCACAATTTGAGGAAGATTTAGATTTACTGAGCGTACCCTGACAGCACCCAAGTACAGAGTTGAGAATTTCAAGTTTTGTCAAGTTTTTATATAACTTCTTTGAAAGCTCTAGTTTAAAAAAATTATAAAAAACGTCATTTTCCGAAACCAAAAGGATTTGAGCAGTCACAATTGGAGGCACTATCTGCAACGCCTGAAAGTACTCTGACAGCATGTCACACCATAAACTTGAGAATTTCAAGTTTGTCAAGTTTTTTTTTCTGAAA